TTATCACGATCAGTTTAACAAATTCGAAAATTATTAAGCTTAATGTAAATTTTCTTGCAGTCCTTGAATCCTAATCCGTGTTCAACAGAAATGGCGGAATCTGGAAGGAATAAAATGGAAGAGGCTCCTAGTGCTGAAATCAAATTTGATGAAAATAGTAAATTTGAGTTTGATTTTTTATGATCTGTTTGTATATTTCATAAAAATTGTTTAAAATTGATTATTATATGTCTTGCGAAAATTATTCCTCAATACTAAATAATTTATCCTGAATCATAACATGTTAAATTATAAATGGAAATTTGAAGCTTCAAATTTCATCATCCTTCTGTCAATAACTATCGTTATTGTAAAGGGAGTTAGAAAATTTTCGTAAAATTTTCTTGTAAGGGATTTAATTTCTAGCACTCGAGGAATTACTTCGAGAAAACGGACTATTACCTGCTGCTGAAAATGTCCCGATCGCCGGTGGTCAACAGGTTATCGGGGAAGAAGATCGTATTCATATAATTGATGTCCCTCTTGCTGAACAAGCCTTAAAAGCTCTCAGAATCGTCTCACAAAATAAATCACGCTTTGAAGTGAATATATATTATTATTTCGATGTAAAATCAGTTATTAAATAAGCCTTTACTTCATCACTTTGCAATCATCACTTCTTAGCCTAAGCCCAATTAGCAGATAAATTTAGTTCAAGAAGCTAATGACTATCTTTGCAGTTTCAATTTGATGGCTTGGGAATGGCCATTTTCAATATATCAAATATTCCAATGATTAGTTTTATTTTTATCTCTTTCTGTTTTCATTTTCGAATTTTCTTTTAGTCTTTTTCAGTTTACGTTACCCGAACCCGAAGAGCTAGCAGAAAAGGGGTTAGCTTCGAATGATAGACAAGATCGTACGCCAAAAGAACAAGAGAAGTAATTTTTTGTTTCAGCATTTCCACCTAATTTAAACTCCATTGTTTTCATTTCCACTTTTAAAATTTTGAAAAGTTTCTCTTATAATGAGCAAATTGCAGACCACCTGCCTCGCCTGTCCGATCTCCCATCATTCTCCGGATTAAGAGGAACATATTCGGTGTTCAGGAAGCTTCCATATGTGAGCAACCTGTTCGTAAAGAAGCAAAAAGAGAGGTAAATCAATAAGAATTCTTCGATATCTAATGTAATTATGAATTATTTTTTCATTAACTCAGTCAAATATACCGCCCAACTCGTTTGTCGCATATAACACTGTCGCATGTTCAGTGTCAACAATGAAACAATTTAAATCATCACTGTCTAAGTTGCAGCAGATGATGATGACCCTGCTCAGTGATCATGTCAATCTAGCAGATG